CTAGAACACTTGTGTATAAAAATTTATCAGTATTTGTTGATTGGAAGAATGAGCAAATATCTAGCACTAAGTGTGCTTGGGAAAGTATGTAGATGTGCCCTGGCAACATAATTGATCTGACATCCACTTCTGTTATCTCACTGAAAAAGTAAAGCAGTGTGAGAACTATGTTGAATCTAGGTAGTTTTTCAAAATACTGTATTTTGCTGTGTATAATTTGCTCCCATGCATAATGTGAACCCATGTTTTGGACCCAAACTTTCAGGAAAAAAAAATCTTCCGTTTTAAATTTTTAATTGAATTTTTTTATTTATTTCTATTTAGAAACAAAACTGATTATCTTATTCCAGGGTATTACTTTACATACAGATATCATTATCACTTTCTAGAGTTATACTTTTAATGCATAAGCATAAATTAAAAAATTAAAAACATTTATATAGGTACAGAATTAGTACTACCCATGTATAATGAGCATCCTTATTTTTCCCTAAATAATTTGGGCAAAAAAGTATGCATTATTCATGGCAAAATAAGGTACCAACTATTGATTTCTGTACAAATAAGGCTCTTGAAATTTAGCAGTAAAACTGATGTGCCAGTTTAACCCCAGTATGGCCCTCTAAGGTTGGGTGGTTATTTTCTGCTTTCCAATATGATTGGATTATATTATTCACTATGTTTGCTCTTGTTTGTTGGATTTCTATTTTTCACAATAATCTAGGAGTTCAGTAACGATAGAATCTTTGCGTCTAGCACAGTTTGCATTTAGGCCATCAAATTGATGAAGGAACCTCATCAATTTTAGGAATTCTGGTTGTGTCTTTCGGAAATCATGGGTTACTTCATCAGAATTGTTTTGTTGTTGTACTAGCTTTATTTTTTGCATCAAATGATTTTTTTCATGGAGAGGTCATTTATACATAAGCTAAACTTTTTGATTCTATATAGTAAATAAATGCACGAGCCAATGTAATTTGGTGTAAATCCAATTTTGGTTTACTTTTGCAAAAATCTCATCATACAGGCATTATTAAGCTCTGATATACAAGGTATATAATAGTGCCCATGATCAGCTTGTGCTGGAAATGTATAATGTTTGGCTTTGCATGATGCCCATTTTCTTTGAAAATTCTCTTAGAAAATTTCTAGAGTCAGTTTTCTCTGGTAAGTATGTGCTGGTGTATCTGTAGTAATACTGCACTAAATTGTCAAATATGTTATCTTCTGATTTTTTTTTCTTTCCTTGTAAATATATAAAATATTTAGTAGAAATGAGATGTTCATGGTCTCATATACAAATTATTTTTTAGACTGGTAAGTTACAAAGATTTCTTTATTAAGCCAGCAGTGTCTTAGTAAATAGAATAAGATTATTTCATTATTCCATATATAATTTATTTATCTCAGCATAAGAGTATACATAGTATAGAGACATTACACATATGAAATTATTTTGTTTTAGTAGTTTATTATTATAATTAAAAATCATTTAACTTTCAAAATAGATTGCTTTAGGAATAAAGAAAATAAACATATCATTTAATAACACAAGGTCTATCTGGAAAAAGTCTGCCATTGTTAATATATCAAAAACAGTTTGTGTGACACCAATGTAATCTAGCAGCTAAGCAGAGTGGACTAGAACGTGCATGGATAAGCAATGACGACTTCACTGTACTAGTCAGTGCGGGCAGGAGATACCGTTGAGTGAGCATGTGTACTGTGTGACTGCTGCATTCAAAATGACTGAGCAAGTCGAGCAATGAATCTGCATCAGATTTTGCACTAAGCTTGAACATTCCTTCATGGAAACTATTCAGATTCAAAAGGCTGCAGCTATGGGCAACTGGTGATTGGCAGGTTCATCACGACAATGTGCCCGCTCATGCATCACATCTTGTGCAGTTTTTTGGTGAAACATTAAATCCCTCAGGTGACTCAGCCTCCCTACAGCCCATATTTGGCATCTTGTGACTTCTGGCTTTTCCCAAAACTAAAATCATCTTTGAAAGGAAAGAGATTTCAGGCTGTCAATGAGATTCAGGAAAATACGACTGGGCAACTGATGGCAATTGGGAGAACTTTGGGAGGTCCCAAGGTGCCTACTTTGAAAGGGGAATGAGGCATCCTTATCCTGTGTAAAAATGTTTCTTATATCTTCTTCAATAAATGTCTCTATTTTTCACCTTATGTGGCTGGATACCTTCTGGACTGACATTGTGTGTGGGCTAGATGCTTTCATATCATCTTCGTTTATTTTTTCAGAGTACTACTCTGAAGTAGTTATTATTTTCAGTAAGGAATAATTAGACTTTATACCGATCTGCACTCAAAGTTTCATTCATATCAGCATTGTTAGTAGCATGTATTTATAACCTTTACATTCTGATATTTAAAACACAAATTTGTTTGTTGGTGGTTGGATAAGAGTTGAAACAAAAGATCTGACCTTAAATGATAAATCCCTCCGAATTGTCTTTATTTCTAGTCTTGTATTTCTTCAGAGATTTAACTTCTTGTTGATTATTCTTTGTGTAATACTTTTCTTCCATAAAATTAAACTTGATATTGGCCCTCTAACCAACAATTTCTTATTATCTTGGGATGCTAGGGATGTGTCACTCAGCTCACACTGGCATGTGCAAGTATGTAGTGTGTGTATGTATTAGTTTAAAAAATTTTTTAAATAAAACATGGTTTTAGTTCTGTTCTCCCACAATTAACAGTATAACCTGGCCATATTGCCAGGGACATACATATCTTAAAGTCTGTATAATGGTCCATAGCATAAGTAAATCAGTATTTATTTGACTATTCCCTCATGTAAGAGTATTCATATTTTCAAAGTGATTCATAAAAGTTTACTTAGTGACATCTGAAACTCTGGGAATATGCACCCTCAAGCACATTTTGTGTCACAACATACTAAGTATTTTAATTAATACTAGAAGCCTTGTAGAAGCTAATTGTTGCTTATTTATGTCTAGGAAAGAAAGGGAATAAAAGCAGAGCAGCTAGAAAGTTCAGAAAAGATATATTGGATATCTAGAAAGATTCTGATTTAATATATTTTTCAAATTTTTCTGGTAAGAGATAACAGAAAAATCTCTTTGAAAAACTTTATAAATTTTTTTTAGATAACTCTTTTTTTTTAAAGATTTTATTTATTTATTTTTAGAGAGGGAAGGGAGGGAGAAAGAGAGAGAGAGAAACATCAGTGTGTGGTTGCTGGGGGCCATGGCCTGCAACCCAGGTATGTGACCTGACTGGAAATCGAACCTGCGACACTTTGGTTCGCAGCCTGCACTCAGTCCACTGAGCTACACCAGCCAGGGCTGAAAAACTTTATAAATTTTAATGAAAGTTCATAAACAGTTGGATAACAAAGGCTGAGGAAGGAACCTATTAGTAAAGCTTGGGGTAAAAGTATTATTGAGGAAATACATATATTTTTTGTTTTCTTTTGTTTGAGGAGCAGTTTGGATTTAATAAATTTTATTCCTAATGAGAGATTGAAGAGCTGGTTCCCACAAGAGGGCAGACTAAGACAACCTGAAAACTTTCACACTATAAACAAAATTTATTTTAAATTCATAGCTGATTTATTAAGAAGGAAGGAGAAACCACCAGGAGCTGGAAATGAGTAGAGAGATGATTGGCTAACCATCTACCTGCCTCTTCCTTAGTGCTTATAACATGCATGGACTGTTGGCAGGTTAGATACTCAGCTGTGGTTATTGTCAGATTGGCACTGGTGAGTGGAAGTCCTAATTGCCTAGCCCATGTATAAATTCCATCCCTGTTACCACAGCCTCTTTGTTAATGAGCCCATTGGCAAGAATAAAATAGTTAGGTAGAGATGCTGGCTGAGTCCTCCAAACCAGTTATCTTATTTACTGGGTTATTATGCATCTAATCTGCAGAGTTTGCTGTTTGGTAAACATTTACATGGGCCATAAATTACATCATACTCTTTGCCCTTTTAAAGAAGTCCATCCATATACTTCATCTCCCAATTTCCTTGTCACCAGTTTTCTAATTACTCATCCCAAAGCCCTGAAGATCCAATCATATCATTAACACTACCCATGAGTCAGTGTAGAACAGTCCCTCTTTCATCCCTCCTTGCAGGCAAAATGAACTACTAGGTGCCCTATTCACCCTGTTCACATTTCTGCCAAGAAGGGTTTCCCTTCGCCACTCAGGAGTGTCCCACCTTTTGGCATCGCTGGGCCACACTGGAGGAAGAGTTGTCTTGGGCCACACGTTAAATACATTGCAACATGTATTCACAAAAAAAATCTCATAATGTTTTAAGTAAATTTACAATTTTGTGTTGGGACGCATCCACAGCCATCCTGGGACACATGTGGCCCAGGGGCCACAGGATGGACACCCCTGCAGGAGTGCCCCAGAGTAGGGTTGTAGTGTGGTCGTCATCCTCATGGTATCATGCGGAGCTATCAGTAAACAAGCCTGATTACCGCCCTGCCACCCTGTCATGAGATGGTCACAGAGAATTCTTCAAGAAATCAAATATAATCAGATTGAGAGAAGAGGAGCAATATAGCAATAGGAGCCGTGGGTATCTAGGCCACTTGCTCATGAAAATTATTTATGCCTCAGGACCTGCTCAAGCCTGAGCTCATGTACACTTCCTTTTGCTGATGAAGTGCTACCCTATACAACAACCACATTGCTTTGTTGGTTCAAATAATACTTAGTTCATGGTGGGCTGTCCAGGTCACATGGTAAAATGGTGGCCCATGATCAGGCATTCATTGTAAGGCCCTGTGGTAAGACAAAAACTGTTTTTCAAGGAAAAAAAAAAGGATAATAGTTACTTGCACAGGATGGCATAGTTTTAAAATAAAATACGAGAGGTTTGCTCTGAGATTCATCTAAATTTCTGCAGTAAGCACCATATAAAATCTCTATCTGCCATGGATATTTCAAGCAACATGGGTATAGTGGGTTATATTACCTAAGTGGCAAAGCAGCTTTCACAGCAGCCCGTACTTGTTTCCGAGCCTTCTGTTGTTTTGGGCCTTCCTCACACCCAGCAGTCTTCTTGTTAAATGGCTCATAATGGCATATGCAGGAGGTACAAGTTCCTTCAAAAATCCAAGGGCTCAGCTTTGGATTAGACACTCGATTTTGCATATCTTTAATGGTCTGTAATAACAGTGATTTTTATATTTTTATTTAATAATATAAATTTCATTTTATTAACAACAGTAATTTCATTTTTTTAACAACAGTAATTTTAGTATTACTTTATATAACAATAAACATTTATACAGTAAAAAAAAACCCAAGGGACATTGTATATCCTTCTCATTAGTAAGAGAGAGAGAGAGTGCAGTAATTTCTCCACCTTGGAAGGGTTATCTTGTGTCGCTAAAGACCACAAGGCTCACAGAAATTTAACTAATGTGGAAGACCTGAGTTTTTGTGGGATTTATTTCCCACCTTCTGACATGCATGTCTTTTATTTACTACAGTATCTAGATCAGTTCCTGCTTCCTGTTCCCCACGTCTCATCAGCATGAAATTATCAGTGTAGTAGACCAGCATGGTGGTGGATGGAATGGATTTACAGTTAAGGTCCCTGAGGATTAGATTACTACCTAGAGCAGGAGAACTAACAGAAGGTAGGGCAATGAAAATGTATAGCTGATTCTGACAGCTGAATGCGTACTGCTTATGATGATCTCATTAAAGTCAATAAATGTAAACCAGGTGCCAGTGGTATATTGATTTGCTTTAGCTACAAAACCACATTTAAAACAGTTGCAGCAGTAGGAGTCAGAAAGTCACTGTCATTTTTCCAAGTTCTGTCCAACTACTACTTAAACCATAAAGACTAGTTGAATAGGGATATGTAACAGCTATCAACCTTGGATCTTTCCAGTGTTTAGTGATTGGACCACACTTTTACTATAGAGACTGAACTTGATTTTGGATGTAGGTCTGAAACTTCACTATACAACACCGTACTCAGTCATTGGCTACATTTGGCTATTGAGTGCTTGAAATGTTGCTAGTCTGAGAGAGATGTGTTTTATGTGTAAAATATACACAAAATTTTCTATCTTCTCTGTTCTTTTCAAGGATGTTTGCCTTTACTTATTCAAATGTTGTAATAGTTGCTCTAAGGTCTTTAGTTTTTAATTCTGTCTTTATTTTACTACTACTACTACTACTATTATTATTATTATTATTATTATCCTCACCCAAGGATGTTTTTCATTGATTTTTAGAGAGAGAGGAAGGGGGAGAGAGAGATAGACAGGCATTGATGTGAGAGAGAAATATCGATTGGTTGCCTTCTCATATGTGCCCGAACCAGAGATTGAACCCGCAGCCTGGGCATATGCCCAGTGACCTTTCTGTTTATGGGACGATGCTCCAGTCATCTGAGCTATACCACTCAGGGCCTGGTTCTTAATTCCAACATCTGTGTAATGTCAGGAATGGCATCTGTTTATTGACTTTTTCTCAAGTTGAGATTTGTCTGTTGTATATGCCATATAATTTTGGGTTATATCCTGGCATTTTGAGTATTATGATGTGAGACCCTGGGTTTCATTCAAAATCTAAGGAGAATGTTGATTTGTGTGTGTACATGTGTGTGTCAGTGACCAGTCAACCAAGTTATGTTCAGGACAAAGGTTCCTAACTGCCTTCTGGGGGCTGTGGTCTTAATGTGTCTGTTTAGTTTTCTAAGCACTTGCAGTGACCCAGTATCTATTCTGGGATCAAAAAGTGTTACTGTATCTTTTTGCTGTGTTCTCAAAGCCTGTGGTATATTGTTTAGGGTCAGATCTATGCATGCAGACCTCATAGATGAGCCTAGAAGTTCATACACAACTTGATGGGCTTGTTTTCTTTGCTATCCCACCTCACCCCAATCTCACCAATACTTTCCAGCTCCCCAGGACCCTTCTTAAGCTCAGGCTAAAAAACAGAGACTGGCTTTTCTGTTCTGCTGTTCATTTCCTGCAACCGTGTCTGCATCCAAGTTAAGTGATAAGAGGACAGGGAGGGGAAAAAAGCAATGAGGATTTGATTTACACTCTTGGGATCACAGTTTCTTAAGTCAGAAAAAGGTTCCCTTCTTTCAGAGTTCTAGGTACCTGCCCAGTCACCATTACTACCTCTCTGCTGCTGCTGCTGCCATGGAATTGCCTGGAGACTGGGAAAAAATAGGGTTTCCCCCTAGTCTCTCAGACTGAGAAGGGCCCCTTTTCCTGCTATTCACCAGAAAGGGAGGGATTTTCCTGGAGCTTTTTCTTACCTGGCATACAAGTATAAGTTTTGGGTTGTCTTTGAGTCCAGTCCAGGCCAGGCCATACCTGAGGAAGAAACGTGGTAAATTCACCACCACTTAAGTGGAACTTCATATTCTCAGTTCCTTTCCCAGTCTGTCCACTATTTATTTTCACACTCTCTCAGATAATGCATCCTTTTTTTATTTGTTTTTATGTTTATGTATTTAATTTTTTAAAAATAGATTGTATAACTTAGATTAAAATTGAGTAGAAAGTACAGAGAATTCCACTATGCCTCTTATACCCACATTTGCACAGCCTCCTCCGTTAATATCCCGTACCACCATCCATTGGTACATTTCTTATAACAGATGGGCCCACATTGACACATCGTAATCCCCCGAAGTCCATATTTTACAGTAGGGTTCACTCTTGATGTGGTACATTTTGTGGGTTTTGACAATTGTGTAATGGCATGTATCCACCATTATAGTGTCATACAGAATAGTTTCACTGGCCTAAAAATTCTGATTATTCATCCTTCTCTCCCCTCAGTCCTTGAAACCACTGATTTTTTTACTGTTTTCATAGTTTTACCTTTTCCAGAATACCATAATTCCAGTTGGAATTATACAGTTTGTATTTTTTTCTGATTGGCTTCTTTGACTTAGTGAGATGCATTTAAGGTTCTTCCATGTTTTTTCATGGTGCAGTAGTTCGTTTCTTTTTAGCAATAATATTATAGCAATGCAATAATATTGCATTGTCTGGATGCACCATGATCTGTTTATTCATTCACTTACTAAAGGACATCTTGATTGCTTCCAAGTTTGACAGTAATGAACAAAGCTGCTATAAATAACCATGTGCAGTATTTTGTGTGTATGTAAGTTTTCAACTCATTTGGGTAAATACCAAGGAATAGGATTCTTGGATTGTAAGGTAAGAATATGTTTAGTTTTGTAAGAAATTGCCAAATTGTCTTCCAAAGTAGATTGACCATTTTGTATTCCTTCCAGCAGTGAATGAGAGTTCCTGTTCCACATACTTGTCAGCATTTGGTGTTGTCAGTGTTTTGGATTTTGGCCATTCTAATAGGTGTGTAGTGGTGTCTCATTGTTGTTTTAATTTGCAACTTTTTAATGACATGTAATGGTGAATATCTTTTTATATATTTACTTGCCATCTATGTACCTTCTTTGGTGAGGTGGCTCTTCATATCTTTTGCCTATGTTTTACATTTTTTGGTTGAGTTTGTGTATTTTGGGTAACAACTCCTTATCAGGTATGTCTTTTGCAAATACCTTTTCCTACTCTGAGGTTTTTCTTATTTTCTTGAAAGTGTCTTTTCCAGAGAAATTGTTTTAAATATTTGTTTATTAGAGAGGGGGGGAAGGAAGGGAGAGAGACATTGATGTGAGAGAAACATCAACTGGTTGCTTCTTGCATGTGCCCTGACTGGGGACCAAATGTAGACATGTACCTTGACCGGGAATCGAACTGGTGACCTTTCGCTTAGCGGAACAACACCCAACCAACTGAGCCACATTGGTCCGGGTGGAAAGTTGTTTTGAATTTCAATGAAGTCTAGCTTATCAATTATTTCTTTCATGGATCATGCCTTTTAGATACAAGGATTATATCTAAAAAGTCACTGCCATATCCAAGGTCATATAGATTTTCTCCTATGTTATCTTCCAGGAGTTTTATAGTATTGCATATTATATTGAGGTATATGATCCATTTTCAGTTAATTTTTTTGTGAGGGGTATGAGGGCCATTTTTAGATTCATTTTTTTAATGTGTATGTCCAGTTGTCCTTGCACCATTTGTTGAAAAGTTTATCTTTTCTCCATTGTATTATCTATTTGTTCCTTTGACAAAGACTGTATTTATGTGTGCCTGTCTCTGGGCTCTCTGTTCTGTTCCATTGATCTGTTTGTCTATTTTTTTTTTTTTTTCATAGTACCACACTGCCTCGATCACTCTAGCTTTATAGTAAATCTGGAAGTTCAATAGTGTCAGTCCTCCATTTTGCAACCCCCTTCAAATATTGAGTTGGCTATTCTGGTTCCTTGACTCTCCATGTAAACATTAGAATCAGTTTGTTGATATCAGCAAAAATAACTTCCTGGGATTTAATTGAAATTGCATCTATTCTCTTAGGTCAATTTGGAAAGAACTGACATTTTGACAATATTGATTTTTCCTATCCATGAATGTAAACTGTCTCTCCATCTACTTAGATCTTTGATTTCTTTCATTAGAGTTTTGTAGTTCTACTGATACGCATCTTGTGCATATTATTTTAGAATTATACCTAAGTATTTCATTTTTTATATTCACAGTCTGAAAATTTCAACATCCCTGCCGTATCTGGGTCTGGTTCTGATGTATGTCTGTCTCTTCAAACTGTGTGTTTTGCCTTTTAGCATGTCTTGTAAGTTTCTGCTGAAAAGTGGACAAGTACTGGGTAATATGATGTGATGAATAGTAATGTAATTGTAAAGGGTGGGGAGGGAAAGCATTTTGAGTTCTATGATTAGGTCTCAGTCTTTTGGTAAACGTGTCACCCAGGACTGTGGACTTCATTTGGGGTTGTTTTATGTTTGTTTGTTTGTTTATTTTCCTTTCTTCTTTGGAAACTGGAAGTGAGACCTATGCATCCTTTCAAGGGTTTATATTTGCATTCAGTGGGAAAGTAAAGGTAGAATATGCTTGTTCTATCTTTTCTGGAACTGGAACACAGTTATGTTTTTCAAATATATAGCATTGCTGGTATTTGTAAAACACATACTATTTCTTTGTATCAATTCTTTTATGTGAAACAAGTTAAAATTTGGGGCTGATGGCTTTCCCACATTGTATACATTCATAAGGTTCCTCTTCAGTGTGAATTCTTGTGTGTCACCTGTAAAGGTGAAAGAGGGATCATTGAAGCCTTTCTCACATTCATTACATATAAAAGGTTTCTCTTCACTGTGTGTGTTCACATTTTTCCAGTGGGATGAGTGACTTTTGATAACTTACCCATAGTCACTGCATTCATAGATTTTCTGACCAGGATGTACTCATGTGATCAGTAAGGTTAAATAAAGTTACTTTTGAAGGCTTTTCTGAATTCATTATAGTCATAGTGTTTCTCTCTGGTGTGTATTCACATCAGCATTGTGAGCTTAATGTTCCTACTGAAGGCTTTTTCTCAGTCATTGCATTTGTAGAGTTTCTCCCCAGTGTGGGTGGATGCTCTGGTGAGCAGTAAAATGAGTGATTCGGCTGTAGGCTTTCCATAAGTCTTTGTGTTCGTAGAGTTTCTTCTTAGTATGTGTTTTGTGTGCACCACAAGACTACAGATGTTTCTAAAGAATTTCCACTCTGATTACCTTATTAAAGTTTGTCTTCAGTGTAAGATCTCATGTACATTTTAGGGATAACTTATAGCCCAGATGCTCTCCTGCTCTGAAAATATTTAAAGAAGTTTCTCTTTATTTTGAAATCTCCCATGTCTCTAATGGGAATAATGGTTACCAAAGGCTCTCTTACAGTCCTTACATTCATGTTTATCTGTCTCTCCTCTATGATCTCTGGCCTACAAAATAAGATTAGTGTTCTCTCTAAGCAAGGGTGTCCAACCTGTGGCCCACGGGCCACATGCAACTTAAGATGGCTATGAATGTAACCCAACACAAAATCATAAATTTATGTAAAACCTTTTTTTTTTTTGGCTCATAAGTTTTTGTTAGTGTTTGTGTGTTTAATGTATGTCCCAAGACAACTCTTCTTCCAGTGTGGCCTGAAGATGCCAAAAGGTTGGACATGCCTGCAAGGCTTTTTCCCATAGATTACACTCATAAAATTTATCTCACTAAGATTCCTTTCTATTTGTATCTCATTGATGCAGACATTGTAGGGGGAAGCTGAGTTTTCCTTCTCTGATGCCTGCTTTGACTGCTTTTCTCCAACTGTGCCTGGAGATCCTAGTCTCCGTAAGAAAAGGTATTCCTTCTGTGCTGAGACCATAATTGTGAGAAAAAAACACCAATAGGGTGTGTAGATGGAAGGGCCAGATCTGGGCCTCCAAAGAAGACCAGCAGCCTGAGTCAGCTGTACCACCCCTACCCACCCAGTGGCACCCCAGTATCCAGGTTTCAATAAGACTGAGGGGCAAATGCAGTAAACAAGGCAGAAAATATCTTTTGTTATGATGCTTTCATTCTAGAGCAGTGATTTTCAACTGGTGTGCCAGAGGAATTTTTAAAACATGCAATACCTGACTATCTAATCAGGAGCACTGACCTCTTTTCCCTTAGATTGTCAAATTTTAAAAAAAGACAACAGTCAACACAATAAAATAATCATCCAGTGTGAATGAGTCAAAATTATATCTATTTTTTGTCAGATTGGCAAAAAAATACAGTTTTTGGTGTACCACAGGATTTTAGTAATTAGATTATGTGAGCTATGAGATAAAAAAAGGTTGAAAATTCTGTTCTAGAGTAGTGAGACAAATCCAAGAACCAGGTAATTTCAGGTCATGATAAGTACTATCAAGAATATAAAACAGGGTTATGTGATAGAGAATGAAAGATGGAGAAAACAGTGGATGGTAACTTAACATTAGTCTGGTAGGCCTTTCCAAGGAGGTGACACTTGACCTTTTAAAGACTAAAGAGCCAGCTTTGCAAAGATACTGGGACTAAGCAATTTAGGTGGATGAAACAGGTGAAGTTCATAAGTTGATAATAAATTTGTCCAGATCAAAGGAACTGAAATGCTAGTGTGACAGAAGCCTTGTGAATTGAGGGAAGAAGTTGGAAGTGATAAAGTCAGAGAAGTTGGGAGATGTGATGAGGTCAGAGAATTAGTATGTGGGTCCAGATCATGTAAGGCCTTATAGGTGATAGTAAGGATTTTGGTTTCTTATTGTCTTCTGCTGCTAATTGACTATGTGATCCTATGTTAGTTGTTAAACCTTCTCTGCCTCATTTTTTTTTTTTGCTAATACCTGAATTTGTGAGAAGTGATGCACACTCAGAGTAGTATAAATCTTGTCTTGAAAGGACATTAGGAATAATTTAGACTAT